ATAAGTGCCTTCCTTGCAAGTGTGCAGTTGTGAGTTCGATCCCTGGTACTGATAAAAACAAAAAAGACAGGCAGGTGAAGGAGGAAAGGATATCTCTTTTTTGGGGGAACCCACATCCAGCCTCCACACTGTGACTTTCTTGAAACTTTTAAACAAATACAATCTATACCCAAAAATACAGCACCTCAGCAGTTACACTGGTAGCCCACGGGAGCTTACACACTCAGGGTGGGTGAGATTCACAAGTGCGCAAGTAGATTAATGAGAGAGGGAAATAAGTAGAAACATTTGATGCTTGGAAATAGAGTCCTGAGAGACCTCCTGGGGTCTGGTTCTTAAAGTGTGATCCACAGATCAGCAGAATGGGAGTCACCAGGCCGGGTCCAGAGCTAAGAATCAGAAATCAATCCCAAGGCAGGGCTCAGCAAGCCTCCCAGGAGACTGCAGCACAGACCTCAGCCCATGCTCCTCAAACTAGTGCCACCAGTCCCCAGGGCTCTCATTAGAATGCAGGTTCTGACTGGGTAGTGGGAGGAAGGGCTTGAGATTCAGCCCTTCTGACACACACACTCCCAGGTGGACGCAACATTGCCGGCCTTTGGGCGACTTTGTTTCCAAGGCCTGCTTCAGGACAAGTCTCCTGGAGTGCCGGTTAGCTGTACAAGTTATCAGATCTCTCTGCTGGGAATTTCCACTGAGTAGGTCTGAGTTGGGGTCAGGAATCTGCTTTTATTTTTTTCCAGTCCTGAGGACTGAACCCAAGACTTTTGCACTGAGCTACATTCTCAGCTTTTAACTTTTTTTTTAAGATAGGGCTTTGCAAAGTTGCTAAGTTCCCCAGGCTGGGTTCAAATTTGTGATCTTTCTGCCTCAACCTCCCAGAGTGCTAGGATTACAACATGTGACAATCATGTCCAGCTAAGAATCTGCTTTCTCAGCAGCTACTCTAAGAGTGTGTCTTCAGCACATGAATATCCTTGCCATAAGCAGAGAGCCTCTCAATAGGGATTCGAATGTTCCAGATCAATCTATTGAGTTAGAATCTTTGAGGAGCTCCAAGTTCTGTATTTTTTAAAAGAAACATCAAGCAATGCTGATGCCCCCTCGGGTTTAAGAACCCTTAATTCAGCGCTTGCTTGACAAGTGTGAGATCATAAATTCAATTCCCGGTACAAAAATTTAAAAAATAAAAACCACAATAATGCCAATCTCTTTTTCTCAGGTAAGGAACCCTAATTTCTAGATGGCAGGCTGCCCAGCATTATGAAAGAAACTAGAGGTAAAATTAAGGCTGGAACCCAGATTTTCTCATTCATTTTTCAGTGTTCTTCCAACAACTTTCTAAACACGTGCGCGCGCGCGCGTGTGCGTGTGTGTGTGTGTGTGTGTGTGTGTGTGTGTGTGTGTGTGTGCATGTGTGTGTATGTGACTGCAAGTTCTAAAGCCAGGAACTGGGTCACATTAGGGAGACAGTGAGTCGTAACTGCTACTCAGGGGTGGCACAGAAATTTCTTTAAGTGCCCCTAGAAAGGTCTACAAAGGATGAGCATGGCTGCTGATGACTGAGGAGGACCCAGGGGTGACAGGATGTCAGCAAGGGGATGTAGCCAGGCAGGAGAGGGAAGCAGGGCCACATGTGCTGCCATGTGTCAGTCTGAGGCCAGTGTCCTCTGCTGAGGGGTCTGGGCAGAGCAGTGGCAGTCATGTGTCATGTTCTACCTGAGAGCTCAGTGGGTCACCTAATCCGAATGAACTCTTACTGTAATCCAAATATTGGAATCCCTTCTTTGCCTTTCTTGCGGTCTGGGAAGCTTATATTTGTGATCCCATTGAAACGTTATTGGGTGCTGGGGGATTTAGCTCAATGGCGTGAGAGTGCCTGCCTTGCAAACATGGAGTCGTGAGTTCGATCCCCAGTACCCTCCCCCGAAAAAAAAATGTTTTTGGAATCCCAGCAAGTTAATTTCAATCTACTGCCTTTGTTACAATCTACAGCAGGAATAAAAACACTAAGACATATTTACAGTTATGCAGCCAAGGGGTCCTAAATAGGACCAGGTGAGGATTCATGGGACAGAGTCCCTGACGCAGGTTCTCACCAGGAATTTATTAATTCATGAAGAAGGAAGTGGCTCAAAGATGAGTATCAGTGAGAATGGCAGGAATTACATGAGTCTGTGAGCTAGGTTTAGCTAAGAGGTCAGAAAATACCTGTGCAGTCTGCATAAAAACCAACCTGCATTTAATTGGGGTAGCATTTGAATGTTTAGGAGGTTGTTGTTTTAGTTTCTGATATGTAAATTTTTGTGCCCTGGGTAGTCATAGCCTCTCATCTTGAGGCTCAGACACAGTTGACATTGCTGGAGCTGTATGGCTCTGCCATCCTGCTGTGCTCAACTGTTTACAGGGAGTCACAAGGTGAGAAAACAGGAAACTGTCGGCTGGCTCCAAAAATTACACAATAGCACCTCAGCCAGCCCTGTTTACATTGCCTAAAGCCAACTGAAGAGAGAAAAAAGGCTTAATCAGCTCTGTACATATCACTGCATGGAGATGGCACCCAGTTTAACTAATGTGGAGGTAGCTGTTCTGCACTCAAGAAGAGCCATCCAAGTGCTGTGATATCATTCACCTTGAGAACCAGGCTGATGATCCTTGATTTATAGTGGTACAGAGATGATACGCAGTCAATGGAAACCATACTTTGAATTTTGTGCTTGGATCTTTTCCTAGGTCAGCTACATGCCGTGAGATACTATCTCTAGGCCTGATGTATTAAATGCATTTTCAATTTAGGAGATTTTCAGTTACCATCAGAAGTTGAAGATCACTCATATACTCTTCGGGAACAAACAATTTGTAACCCATGTACAGCTTAGATCACTGGATCTTCATATCGCCAGCATTTAAAATTCTCCAAAGAGTATCAGTGAAGCCATAAAATGCAAAAAGAAGCTTGTTAAAATTGCTTCTTTTTTCTGTAGAGTTAGGATTGTCAAACTCTTTATCAGGATGATTTAAAGCATAGAACTGCTATTAATATTTTCTTACAAAGATGTTGGGAGTCACAAAAAAAAAGAGAAACAAGTGTGTGTTCATCCCTTACCCCATATTTCAGGCAATAAACAAAAGAAATCGATCGTCCAGGATTACAAGACAAGACAGAATCTGAAGGAAGTCTGGAGGGAGCCACGGCTGAGAAAGCATGAACCCTGCCCAGCACCAGCTGGTCAGACAGTGGAAATGCCCTGGGCTCCGAGTCAGGAATATGAGCCTCAGCCTGTGGACTCTTCTAGAAATGGAGAGAAAGAGACTTAGAGACCTCGGGGTCCCTCACTGCTGAAAGCACCCATTCCAGGTTTGGGGCCAGCCTGGCTGACACTGCCCCTCTGACCCTTCTCAGGAGGGCACAGTGGAAGTGGCAGGCACTTTTAGGTGCCACCGGTCACTGAATGTCCTTGTATGCTGTTTTGAGATCTTCTGTCTTAAAAGAGAATATGAGAAACAGAAAGGGGGGGGGTATGTTTCCAGCTGGAGATAATTAATTGAAAGACTGACTTTTATCTAGATGCCGAGATGCCCTCAAAATAAATGCCCATGTGTTAATGGCCTGTTCTTTGAGTCATAACACCTGTTGCCCTTGAGATAGAGACCCCAGGCCCAAAATAGGCACAGCTGCTGCAGTACGCTCATCTTGCCCAGCCCCTAAGCTAGGCCATATTTGGAAATGTATGTCCCTCCTCCCATCCTACCACCCTCCCCACCCGGAGCCTCACGGATCCGAGCCTTCACCCCAAGGGCCACCTTTCAGAAACTTGATCTTCAAGTGGGCTTCTAAGCCTGTGTGAATATCGAAACAGCAAGGTCTTTGCTGTTGTTTCAGAAAGCGAAGAAAATCAGGGTCACGGCTAGGATTGTTCTCAGACTCATGAGGAACTACTTCTGGGTTATCATTCTGTTATTATTCTCCCTTTGTTACTGATGTTGGGGGCAAACAGTTGGCACGAGGAAGGATCCTTTCTTCACAGGTGACAGATTCCTCCACTTGACTTTTCATTCGTGGAATTCCAAGTGAATCCTGAGCTCCTCTTGTGCACAAAGCATTGCTAAAACCGTCGACTCTCCTGTGGTCTTTCATCTCCTGTCACCTTCCTCTACTGCCTACAACCCGTGTGGGTTAGTTTTATTATTATTTTATTTTTATTACCTGGGTTCTTTTATTCCCTTTTCTGCCCTTGAGGCTAGAAGGCCACACAGGGGAGCCCCACGTAATGATGGTGCTGTTTTATCTGAGATGCCTCTTCTCTCACAAGCTGGTGCTAGGTCCTCTCCTAACCCTTCCCTGGCTGCTGAAAGAGAGTCATAGGAGCAGACCCATGCATCTACAGGAGCGGGGGCTTCGTGCTCCTCACCCTCATTAAAAGCGGCAGCATGTTAGATACTGCCATCCTAGGCTCCCGGCTCCTGAGGGCCGGCAGCTGGAGACACAAGAACCTGCGGAATGTCTCGGCATAGCGGGGGTAACCAGATCACCACTCGGTTCTAACAAGGAGCCTCAGAGGCTCTGAACTTCAGCTGTTTTTAGCAGTGGGATTACTGGGGGGAGTGCAGATAGAGCTCCATGTTCTGGGTGGCTGACAGGTTCTAAAGCACTCTTGCTTATTAAAACACTCAGCTGTCACCCTGACCCAGCGTGGAGGGATGAGGCGCTGCCCGCACCATCTGGTGGCAGCTCACTTTCCTCCCTAGGGACATGTTACTCCTATTAGAAACTGTGTCTTCCCTGTCCTTAAGCAGGGGCCACCTGCCAATCATAAACCAAGATCTCATCCCTTCCAAATAAAGGAGTTTGCCATCCTTGCTGGCAACCCTTTGCAGCTGACAGACCTTTGGTAATCCTGGGCTTGAGTATGCATTCCTTATGTATTAAAAAAAAATTACAACAGGTATTAAAACATAGAAATCCACTTCTGGAAGAATTGAGGCTCAATAGGGAATTCAGAAAGCCAGAGGATGATAGGGAAAAAAATTCTATACTTCAATACCAGAAAAATAATTCTTTTAGCAAGGTGAAGCTACTTATTTAAAAATAAGAAACATAATGGGAAACGGCCCTTCAGACTTGGAGAGATGGGATCCAGCTCAAAGGCGTATGCTGGAAGAGGAGAGGAGGGTCACCCTTTGGAGCTCAGGTGCATAAGATCCAGTGGACCTCAGAGTGAGCTCAAGGACAGGCGCATTTCTACTGAAAGACTGACTGGCCTTGCTGAGGGGGACGCACGGGGTGAGTGAGCTGATGGGCAAGAGGAGGGTGAGCATAGTGGAATGTCTGGGGAACTAATAGAAACAGTAATCAGAAAGAAACAAAGGACACTTGGTGTCTTAGTAGCCCTTTTAAAACACACCCACGCTCCGTGCTCCCTGGAGACATCTCTTGTCTCTGTGTAGTCATCTGCCTAGGTAGACAGTGCTCTGTAAAAAGTCTTGGGCTCCAAAGAGAATCCCAGCTCTGCCATTGTGACCTTGAGCAAGTTACTCTGTGTTTTGGTTTCTTCTGAGTCCATAAATAAGCAGTTGTAATCGGGCAATCTCCTCATCTCTGGATCTTTATAGCGATGACATGAGGGAGCCCATGCTGGATAAGAGGTCAGTAAATAGTGGCTGGTTTCATCCTCCTCCTCCCCATTGCCAGACAAGCCCTCCTCTGGCAGGCGTGGGTCTCCTGGCATCTCCTTATTTGGAGGAGATTCCTGCTCTCACCTTCTGTCTTGAACAGCAAGACTTCTGTTCTCTGTAATCACCAGTGTCTTTCGCTTTACAGAGTAAAATTCATCACAGCACTCACTCTGAGAAACTGCATTTTTCTCATTTATGCCTTTCACGGAATCAGAGCCTAACAGAATGAGGTGATCAGAAGTAGCTTCCAGAACCAGACTCCCTTTGCTGCCTTTAGGTCAAATGTCATGATTTGCTGGTGAGTGGACACATGAGTTACCACAGTCTCGGAAATGCTCAGGTTCAAGGCTCTGTCATGCATAAAACACATCAGAAGCAGAAGCTTCTTTGTAACAAATCTGAGTCTTAAATTCTACAGAACAGGCTGACTATGAAGCTGGCCGTTCCTTCTACACCTGTAGATATTGTGTGTGCTTTTAAAGATCAGCACTATTTCAGACCGTGAATTCACACTGTCACATAATACCTTAAAGAATGAACAAGAATCCATCGTCACCACCAAACTTCATGAACTGGAGTGCCCATGTGTGTGTGTGTGTATCCGTGTTTTAACACTTCTTTGTACAAATCAACCTCTATATGAGTCAGATCTAATACAAAACCAGTCATACAGTGTAACTGGTGGGCAGGCCCATTAAGGCTCTTTAATCTGTGGGTTCTCGCTTCCTGTTTTTCTATACTTTTCTGTTTGCAATTCATTTGCTGGAAAAACTAGATCACCTGTGCACTGTTTCCTACATCCTGGGTGTCACAGGTTGTACCGTATGTCTTTGCCCAAGTTGCTTACAGGTTGATGGCAGTCACATCTGGAGGGCTGATGGGACCCCGGGGAGTCTGTTGGGCAAGAATTCTTTGCAGGCAATGGTGGGCTCGTCTGTCACGAGGCACATCATGTCTGGCTGCCTATCTCTTTGTGACTCGAGCTGCCATAATTCATTAAGGGTTCCTACTTCATAGCAAGCTGGCGCTATCCCAGTCTCTCTTCTTCTTTACCTAACAGCTGGAAATCTCTGCAGTGAGACACTTCGTTTATTTCCTCTGTTGCCTGATTTCGGCAGAAGGGATCCATGGATCAGACCTGATCTCTTTGCTCTGATTTCCTCTCAGCAAGTCCTGACCAGAAGAACAGGCCTCTTTTTTTTTTTTTTGTCATAGTGTTGTCATGAAATATAGAAAGCAGCTCCAGCAGCTGGAGCTGTACTTCTTGTCCAGCATGCAGAAGGTCCTGGATTTGATCCTCAAGACTACAGAGCTAATTAACTAATTAAAATAAAGTTGCATGTGAAAACAAGTCAAAACGACTGGAAATCGCACAGGCCAAATCTGACATCAACTTAGGCACCTTCCTCTTACGATGGTGCGTTCTGGGAGATGTTAGACTTGGTGTGGAGACTGTTGGCCACTCGCCACACAATCATAGCCTAATCCAGAAATAAATAAAGGATTTGGCAATGCTTCCTGATAACTTGAATTACAACGAGTAACCAGTGAGCCCATGTTAGAAGACGCCATTCCCAACAGCAGCTGAATGATCACTCGGACCTCCGCTTCTGTTTGTCCTCTTAGGTAAATACAGATTCATCCTGACAAGGGATGTGCTTTTGGCTGTGCAGCTCTGAAAGAGCACAGATCAAGACAAGGTAACAGGACCCCGTGGCAGACCCAGACCAGGTCCGGAAGGGACCTGACGCTACTTTAAACAGTGCTAGCAGAGGGCAAATACCCAGCAAATATTTCCCGCATTCCTCACCTATTTTCCTGCTGGAACTTAGAGGAGATGGGACTCATCCCTTGCTTAATGACTACCCAACTTGACACTGGATTTTCTTGAACATGGCGTAAGTATTTCCTTCAAATATTAAGACATGATTCTTGAAAATCTGCCCCCCACACACACGCACACGTTTGGCATAGTTAATAGTAATAGTTAACCCAGAAATATTTTTTCTCTTTCTTCTACTATGAAGTTTAAACCAAAGTCATCTCTCCCTCCCACATACATACAACGATTCATCAAGCCATCTGCTTACTGAGATTCCAACATGGAGCATAAAGCTCGCCAAACAAAAAATCCTTTCTTTATGGGTAGACGAAAACAAATACACGGAAGCGTCCCCAAATTGCAAACAAGGCCAATTTTATTGCATGTGAAGAGTCGCGTGGGAATTACGTATAGTGGTCAGCCGCCGTGAGGATATACATTGTGCATACCTCCGGCCTGCTGCGGGAGGGCTCGCTCACTCCTCGCTCTCGTGGACCACCATCTGGAAGGAAATGGGCGCTTCGAATCAAGTCAGGGGGCAGACACATTTCCTCCTCCCCTTGACTGGCAGTATCGGGGGCTGCTTGTCTGAAGTGGGACACGGGATGTTTTTGCACCTTTGGAGAACGTGTGACGGCATACACTGAGTCACAACATAACCTAAGAAACCCGCGGCCCGAGAGCCGGCTCCACGTACTGCGCCGCGGGCCTCTCGCATGAGCGCAGCTGCTGCAGGCGCGCGCAGCGCCTCTGAGGTGCTCCTGCAGCGGCACGATCTGACCAGCAGAGGGCGCCTACATAGAACCCCGCGGTTCCAACGTTTATTCTTTACGTGAACTTTTCTGTGACCTGCAGACCTGGCTTCCTCTGCCTTGGAGGGGTTGCGCTCAGCTAAACAGCTTTAAACGAATCACTTCCCTTCCTGAGCCCAAGATTCCCTGGCTGTAAAGGTAAGATTCCCTGTGGTTCTTTCCAGCTTAGAAGCCTCTGCAGCTGCGGTGGGTTCTTCCCGGGCAAGGACTCACCCTGCTGGAGGTGAAGTCTCGGGTCTTGGCGCGGAGCTTGTTGACTTGCGACTCCGCGATGTCGGCACGTTCCTCAGCTTCCTCCAGCTCGTGCTGAGCCTTCCGGAATTTGGTGAGGTGAACGTTGGCTTGTTCATCCTAAAACCAAAGAGGCCGGCAGGTAAGCTCAGCAGGCCCTTTCCGAAAGCCCCGCGGGGAAACTGAGGCCGCCGCTCCAGCACCGCCGTGCACCCGACTCACAGCCTCCTCGGCCTGCCTCTTGTAGGACTTGACCTTCACTTGCAGTTTATCCACCAGATCCTGCAACCTCAGCACGTTCTTCCTATCCTCTTCACTCTAAAGAGGAAAAATGAAGACGATTCCAGAGAAGAGCAGAAGTGCACGGTCCGGCCAGTTTTCCTGGCGTCCGCGTTCTGCCTGCGTTTGGGTGGAGACCCCAGGGGTGGGGGGCACCGGCAGGGAACAGGCTGCGGGGCTCTCTGTGCGCCCACCTGGTACGTCAGCTCCTTGACTCTCCGCTCGTACTTCCGCAGGCCCTTCACAGACTCTGTGTTTTTCTTCTGCTCCCCTTCCAGCTCAAACTCCAGCTCTCGGATCTGGGGGAGACGGTGGAGACATCAGCCCGCGGCCGGGGCCTGAGCCGGACAGGCTGGAAGCTCAGCCCTGGTCTCCCCCGCAGTACCCTGGTCTCCAGCTTCTGGATCTGCTTCTTGCCGCCCTTCAGCGCCAGCTGCTCGGCCTCGTCCAGCCGGTGCTGCAGGTCCTTGACCGTCTGCTCCAGGTTCTTCTTCATGCGCTCCAGGTGGGCGCTGGTGTCCTGCTCCTTCTTCAGCTCCTCGGCCATCATGGCGGCCTGGGGAGCAGAAAACACCAGCAGAAATGCAGACCAGCTCAAAGGCCTTCGGGCATGGAAACTTGGGGGGGCCAAGGACCAGAGACCAGGCTAAAGAAAAACTAATAATGGGTGAGGCAGGAGTGAGCATATCACCACCCTGGAACAGGACAGGAGCTACAGCCAGGGCATAAAGTAATGAACAAAAGGGACCCGCAAGGGCCGGATGGGGACACTGCTTGGCTTTCCTGAAACCCCTCCGAGGGTCTTCCCCACTGTCACCTACATACATGGTATTTTCAAAAGACTCTGAGACTTGGGAAGGCTGACTTGGTACACAGTCCATCTGAGAGATGCTGGGGACAGTTTTGAAGCAGAATATACGCCAGGGGTATCCTGGCGGAGAATCTGCCCGTCTGGTGGGACTGTCTGGGGTAGGAGAGAGGCGGGGCATCGTGAAACCCTGTTGGGAAGGCCGCGCAGTGAAGCAGCCAGACAAAGGCCTTACGTCTGTGATGGCCTTCTTGGCCTTCTCTTCTGCATTCCTTGCGTCTCTGCTGGCATCTTCCACCTCACTCTGGAGCTGCGTGAGGTCTGTCTCCAGCTTCTTCTTGGTGTGGATGAGGCTGGTGTTCTGGGCGAGAGGAGCTATGTCATGCCGGTGTGCTCAGGTGGACCCTGGCCCACCTTGCCCGGCCAGCCTCCCTCACCTGGGTATGCAGCAGCTGCACTCTCTCATTGGAATCCAGGAGCTCTTGTTCTGCCAGCTTCCGGGCCCGCTCCGTCTGCTCCAGGGTGGCCTGCAGCTCTTCCACCTCGGCCTGCAGCAGGTTGGCTCTGCGCTCCACGATCGCCAGCTGCTCCTTCAGGTCCTCCTGGCCGCGGAGAGCGTCGTCCAGGTGCAGCTGGGTGTCCTGGCCAGAGGAAATAAGAAGACAACATCTGCAGTGCAGGTTTTAGGATCAGAAGCCTCATCACAGCTCAGAGCAGCTAAGGACGGCAGATTCCCCCAACCCCGCCCTCACCCCACCGCGGGAGCAGCCGCACCTTCAGCTGTCCCTGGACACTCCGGAGGTGCTTGAGAGTCTCTGCAGCCTGGCGGTTGGCGTGGCTCAGCTGGATCTCGATCTCATTCAGGTCGCCTTCCATCTTCTTCTTGACGCGAATGGCTTCGTTCCTGCTCCGCACTTCCGCGTCCAGGGCGCTCTGCATGGTCTCCGCCGTCCTCTGGTAGTTCCTCTTCAGCTGCTCGATCTCCTCATCCTTCTCAGCAATCTTCCTGTCGATTTCTGATTTCACCTGGGTCAACTCCAGCTGGATGCGGAGGATCTTGGCTTCTTCATGCTCCAGGGCAGCCTTGAAAGAACAAGAACAAAGCTCATGGCCTCCGAGCCGGTGCAGCCCACCCTTGGGGTGACAGAGTGCCCCTGGGTAGGCCTCAGCGGACTCTGCAACACTCAAATCTACCATCTTTAAACATCTGAATTGCTCTTCGTACTGAGCTATAAGTGCTTTCACTGAGCATTCATTTTGATTATATGATCAAATAATATGTAAATTATTCTGGGTTTTGGGATAGGAGTGCAAAGCACTTTACAGATATTTAAACTCAAATAAAATTTTATCAAATCCCATTTTTAGACCTATTTTAATGACTTAATCCAGTATAGTCAAGATAACGCGAAGATCTTAGGCTCATTCAGTCTCATCCTTATCGTGTCTAGTGGGCAGGTGTTAGACTTCGGTTTTACAGAGTCCAAAATGCAGCTGCCAAACGGGGCCAGCTGGTCCCCTGGGCCCGTCACTGCCTCTGTCCCTGCTGCTGTGCCCCAGCTTCCAGGCTCACCTCTGCTTCTTCCAGAGCCAGCTGGATGTCGGCCTTCTCCAGCTCCATCTGCTTTCTTGACTTCTCCAACTCGTGGATGGTTTTACCATTTTCAGCAATTTGCTCAGTGAGATCTGCTATCTCCTCTGCAAGGTAATAAGTTTCGATTGCACTCGGATGTCCCTGCTCGGGTGCCCAGACATAGAAAGCACGGACTCAATGCTTTTAGACTGGGTTACTGTAATTCGAAAGGCCTCCTGTTTCTTAGAGCTAGGCATTGTGGATAGAGATTCTGTAAGAACACACTGGAAGGTGCGCGCTCTGAGGCGCATCCACAGAGACGGTGTAGGGTCTGAAAACCGAGTGGCCCCCCTCCGGCTCACTCGCTTTGGAGTGTGAAGGGAGAATGATGCGGACCGTTCTACACTGCAGGGGCTTACGCTCCAAGTTCTTGTTTTCCCGTTTGACAGTTTCAAGCTGATCTAAGGCTTCCTCGTAGGCATTTTTCAGTTTGAAGAGCTCAGTGCTCAAGCAGCGGGACTCCTTCAGAGACGCCTCCAGCTCTGCCTGGCTCTCCTCGCACTTGGTCCTCCACTCGGCCAGCACCTGCGTTGCCAGAACGGGAAGGGGTTCTGCGCATGAGCTCGCCTCCTGCAGGCTTCTGTGTAACGTTAGCTTTAGGAGGAGCACCCCCAGACTGGGTGTTATCTTTTCTCAGGCTCCTTGTTTTTGATTACGGGGTAACCCTGATTGCATTCTGTAAATGTACCCACCATAACCAATCAGGAACAATCACCATCCCCCCATACTTTTGCCATCTCCAAAAGTAGGTGAATCCTTTGGAAAGGAATTAGCTAGGCACAAGTGTCCTTTTTGTAATACGAAATTCCATACTTCAGTGTTTCATTAGAATATTGGTTTCCGTCAACCTTATCTGCCATCCCGGGAGAGAGGGGTTTTCACGAAACCTCCCACTGAGACCTAATTTGAGTGTCACATGTCAGCCACCCAGACACATTAACCACAGGTGGGAAGGAAAAGGATTTGGACCTGAATGGCCGTGGGGAAATTGATGTTGCCACCCCCAGTGTGTGACAGTGACTTCCGCCCCATCCCATTTCCATTTTGTTCCACAGATGAAGAAACCACATCCTAGGGAATCTCAGGAACTTCCCCAAGGTGACCCGGCTGGGGAACAGTCAGGTGTGTGACCCACTCTCCTTCCTCCACGGCACTAGAGCTCCCCACGTGCTAGCCGTCGGCCACGTAGCTAATCTCGCACCTTGTCAAAGTTCCTCTGCTTCTTGTCCAGAGCATTCGCCAAAGAGTTGGCTCTTTCGACGTCGACCATCAGGTCCTCCACCTCCCCCTGCAGTCTCTGCTTCGTCTTCTCCAAGGAAGCACACTTAGCATTCACCGCCTCAACCTGCTCCTCAGAGTCTTGCAGGCGCTGAGCAAGTTTTTTCCTTAAATGTGAAAGCGAAGCAGATGTAATTTTCTGTCTTCTTAAACCTTACTATTCATCAGTTACAATCACTGATCTATGCAGTTCAAACACCATGTGCTTTCATAAGCCCGTAGAGTTCCCCGTCTGCTAAGTCAGTCATCAATAGCCTGCTTTGTCTCTACCCAAGATCAAAGTTGCTTGTTTTAATAAAAAGTGCTAACACCGAGTTCCCCACATGTCTCAGTGCTGCCTTTAAAGACACATACGGTGGGGGAACATCTAGAAACGAGCGCCTCGCCTTCACCCTCGAGCAGGCCCGAGGCCAGTGTGCTCTGCCACAGGAGCACTCAGGGATTCCAGTCCTTACAAAGCCACCCAGAGCTGCATACTTGGCCTCCTCCAGCTCCTCCGTGCGCTGGATGGCGTCCGTCTCATACTTGGTCCTCCACTGGGCGACCTCACTGTTGGCCTTGGACAGCGCCCTCTGCAGCTCAGCCTTGGCTTCCTGCTCCTCCTCGTACTGCTCCCGCAGCAGGTCGCAGTCGTGGCGGGAGGACTGCAGGGCGTGCGCCAGGGCGTTCTTGGCCTGTGGAAGACAAGGAGACCCTAGTGGATTTAGTACTTGGATGCTTCGTAGGATCCAAGTATGCTATGATCATCTACTGAGTAAAGCTGCGGCGTTTTTGTTTGTTTTTGAAAATGAGATCAGGGAACCCTCTTTCAGAGGACGCACGCACCTTGCTCTCTTCCTCCAGCTGTCTCTTGAGCTCCTCTATCTGTTGGGTAAACGCTTGCTTGCTCCTAGAAAGCTGCGACACGATGCTTTCTTTTTCTTCCAGCTGGCGGCTCAGCTCGCCTATACCCAGAAGGAAACAGTTCATGCACTCACTTATCATTCACCAAGCTCCTGCTGAATGTTCGGCTCCGTGCTAATGTCGGGGGAAGAACAAGGATACCATGGCGTGCCCTCTTGAGGGAAAAGGACGTGTGCATGAAGAGGACACGGAATTACAGCCGGGCAGGATGGTGCTGGACTGGACACTACTGAAAACTGGAAGCCACTTCTGCGAGTAAAATGTGTCGGGAACAATTACACACTTAAACACCCCAGAGACGTCCAGAACCCCAGCACACCTCCCCGTGGCTGATGTTTCCAGCCATTTGCTGACTTGTTATTAAGGGAAATACTGTACTTGGGACTTATCTCTAGGAATTTGAAGTTTGACTGTGTGGGTAAATATGGTGAAGTTCAATTTTATATGCTTAACTAAAAGTCTGTGAAAAAGGAGCAGACGGGAGGACTTAGGGTTCTGGAAGTGAACCCCACGGTTACTGAAAAGCGGAAGTAACACTTTCTCCATCATGTCCATGGCTGCTGGACAAGGACTCATCTGCCATGAGGACACAGTGCTGGGCGGGGCCACATTTGCTAGATAAAAAGGCCCAAATAACGCTCCCTTACATTATTATGGAACAACCAAAAGCCTAACCACTAGGCCCATTTCTTTCCTTGTTCTCTACAATGCAGACTCATGCAGTAAGAATCAGAAAGGCCGCAGGTCTTGGTTTCTGGGCCTTTCTCTGCCAGTTGGTTCTGTCTGACACGAGGTAGGGTAACCGCAAGGCTTTGGCCGGGTGATGGTGATGCTCTGCGACTCTTCCCATCCTGCTTCTCTGCCTCTTGCTTTTACTGAACTCGGCGTTCTCTTCCTTTAGGACATCTCGGGTGGCCCCGTGGGCAGACTGTTTTGATTACCTCTCCCTGAAAGTGGGCCTTCCTAGAACTCCTGCCCCCTAGGCTTGGCAGCCGCCCCTCGGGATTCCTGCTGGGCTCACCAGCCTCCGTCTGAAGACGGGACTTCTGGGTGGTCAGCTCGCTCAGGCTCCTCTGAGTCTCCTCATTCTTGCCTCTGGCTTCGCTTAACTGGTCCTCCAGAGTCCGGCATATCTTTTCCAGATTGGCCTAAGGAGGAGGAAGAGGGAGAGAAGTGGATCCACTAGCCGCAGGCGTAAAGTGGGTGCTGCCTGCCCCGCCCAGGCACCTTGGATTTCCCTTCAACCCCAATCTCAATCTCCCTGGGGGAGGGGGGATATGTCACAGAACTTCCCCGGGCTGGGTCTGAACTTTGGGTTTTCCTGCCTCAGCCTCCCAGAGTGCGTGAGCCACCTTGGATTTGGACACGCTCTCCACGCTGCTGGACAGGTCATCGATCTCCAGCTTGAACTCGCTCTTTTCCTTCTCCAGCTTCTGCTTGACCCGCTGCAGGTTGTCGATCTGCTCCGCGAGCTCGGCCGCGCTGTCTGCGTGCTTCTTCCTCAGGGTGGCCACGGTGGCTTCGTGCTGCAGGGTCGCCTCCTCCAGGTCCCGGCGCAGCTTCAGGAACTCGGCTTCCCGCTTCTTGTTCAGCTCGATCTGCGTGGAGGTGACGCCGCCCGCCTCCTCCAGCCGCTCGCTCAGCTCCTCCAGCTCCCGGGCATAGTCGCTGCGCTGTTTCTCCGTCTTGGCGCGGGTCGCCCTCTCGGCCTCGATCTCCTCCTCCAGCTCCTCGATGCGAGCCTGTGGGGAGCAGATTTTCAGCCCGGGCCGCTCTGCAGCCACTCACAGGCTCCCTGCTCACAACAGCTAAGATTCGGGATCAACCCGCGCGCCTGTCCGCAGGAGAATGGGCAACACCAAGGCCGTGCAGGCACGCAGGGGAATATTCTGCAGCTGTAAGAATGAATCGTCCTTTGCAGCAAAACAGGTCAAACTGGAGGACCTTATGCTAAAATGAAATAAACCTGACTCAAAGGACAATACAACAGCTCTCCTATGCGGAAGTTGGAGATGGGGGAGGATCAACCTGAATTTTTAGGATAGTGATCACTGGAGGTAAACAGAGGGTGGATTCCATGAGGTGCCTGAGTTGAAATATCACCCTGACCTCCCACTGATGTGTAACTTAGTACATGAATAACAACAATAATAAAAGGACAGATTCATTTCCATGTACATCAGACAAACCAATTTACAGACTTTCCTCAAGAGGTAAAAATGTCACTTTTTAAATTCACTTTTTAAATTTTAGTATTGAGGACTGAATCCAGGGCCTCATGCAGGCCTCTACCACTGAATTTCTGAGCTACACCCCGCTCCTCTGGATCTTGAGACAGTCTCATTAAGTTGCTGTGACAAACCTCTAACCCGAGATCCTCCTGCCTCAGCCTCACGAGGCATGTCCTACTGAGTTCTGCTCTGCTCAAATTTCCTTTCATGAATTTTTCCTGCAACCACATGTTCTTTAGCCCTGCAGTAACCAACCTAGCATATTTCCTATTCTCCTGGATGTTGGCCTAAATGCTTAAATTGCAAATTGTCCTG